ATTATATTATATTATATTATATTATATTATATTATATTATATTATATATATACTGTGCTGGACGTTCCCAGCCTGTGACTGTGAGCTCTGGGTGTTTTCTGTGAGCGTGAAATGAGTTTTTTGAGAGGAAAAACAAACAAACGCACGTGGGTCAATAATGCCAGACGGTGGCCGGTGTTCGATTTTTAGCTCGGTCTGAGTTTTAGCGTGTAAACAGATGCTAATCTGGGATTACGCCAGAATACAGATGTGTTCTCAAACAAAGCGCAACCTGATCTGCTGATCGGGAAAAATTTAACCCACTGAGATCACATCTCTTACTAGGAACTAGAAGCACATAAAGAATGCAGAAAACGCTGCAATTTAGATAGAAATCGTGACAGAATTCTATATATTTTTACTAATTTTTATAGATGACAGAAGCCTCTAAAACTGGGTTATAACTCTCCAACGCATGGCTAAAAACTGGAAGGGAAGTGTAGAAATGGGTTGAGTTTTGTTGGAATTGACCTGAAGGTTCTGGGTTCAAGTCCCGGGGGTACCCAGGACCTTTTTGCTAGAGGGTTCTGGGTTGGAGTCCCGGGGGAACCAGGACCAGAGGGTTCTGGGTTGGAGTCCCGGGGGAACCAGGACCAGAGGGTTCTGGGTTGGAGTCCCGGGGGAACCGGGACCAGAGGGTTCTGGGTTGGAGTCCCCGGGGGAACCAGGACCAGAGGGTTCTGGGTTGGAGTCCCTGGGGGAACCAGGACCAGAGGGTTCTGGGTTGGAGTCCCGGGGGAACCAGGACCAGAGGGTTCTGGGTTGGAGTCCCGGGGGAACCAGGACCTTTCTGGGTGGTTCTGCATGTTCTCCTGTGTCTGTGGGTTCTCTCCGGGTTCTCCGGCTTCCTCCCACCGTCCAAAAACCTGCATGTTAGGTTGTTGGACTCCAAACTGCCCTTAGTGTGAGTGTGTGTGGTTGTTGGTCCTTGCGTGTCTCTGTGTGTCCCTGTGATGGACTGGGGACCGTCCAGGGTGACCCCGCCTCTCCCCATTGGGTCCTGGGATAGGCTCCGCCCCCCTAATATTCCCCATTAGGGAATAAGAGGTAACGATAATGGATGGATGGATGGATGGATGGATTCAGGTTATAATGTAAATCCATCTGGATAAAACCTTAAGTTTGGTCACTCCTCTGATCCTTTTCCGGGTTTGTTTCCATTACGTGTTTTTATTCGGTTCCCACCAAAACATCTCACATCTGGACCACTTAACAGCTCCCGGTTTCATCCTGGATGTGGAGCCCAATCGAACATCTGTCAAAAAGACGAATGGCGGCTTGATAAAATTCATTTTAGCCAAAGCGTTGTGTGTTCCTCTTTCTGCGTCTTTGTGTTTTTCTTTTGTTTTTGTTGTTGTTCTGACTTCGGGTTTGAGCTCCTGACAAACCGCCAGCTGCTGTCAGATGAATTTATCAAGTTGTTTCCTGACTTTTGGGCCCGGAGAGGCTCTGAAACCAGATGCCTTTCCTTTTTTTTTCCTCCTCTCCCCGTCAGTTTGACAGCCTCTGCTCCACAGGTGTGCAGCCCAAGGCTTTATTTGTGTGTTTCTGGATCCAAACAAAGAGCTGAAACACAGCTGGACAGAAAAAATGACAGACAGCAATTATCTGACTGATTATCTTTTGTCTGGATGCTGAAAAGCTGAGAGAATTCACAGGTTTCCTGTTTTATCTCGATCCTAAAAAAGTATATTTTTCAGTTCCAGAAAACAGCACTTTACACAGTTAATTAGATTAATAAAAATAAAAAGAAACGTGCCCTTGATCCAATTAAATTGAACATAAAGTGCCTTTTGGTACCTGATGAGTTCAAGTTCATTGCAATAATATATTATATATAATAACATTCCAAACGAGTCCAACGAGGAAGCTAGAAAATAATATTCCTGCAAACCAAAAACCAGCAAAATGCTCTGAAGCTTCCCCCTGATCCAGTCCGGTTCCGGAGCATGCACAAGGCGACAGCGGGAAGAAAAAACTCCCCTTAAACAGGAAGGAACCTACATCAGAACCACACCCACCGGTTTGAGCTGGAGACTCTAAGTTTCCCCTGAACAGCCCAGTCGGGGGTGTATCCACCTCCCACCAAATAGATAGATAAATAAATAAATAATTGAAAAAATGAAAAAATTAGTAAATTAATGAATGAATGAATAAATCAATCAATATATAACTAAATGAATGAATAAATAAATCTTTTTTTTTTCAAATGAATGAATGAATAAATGAAAAAAATGGTTAATTAATTCATTAATAAGTAATTAAATAAATGAATGAATGAATAAATGAATCAATAAATGAATAAATGAATAAATAAATGAAAATATGAATTAATTATTTAATTAATAAGTAAATTAATTAATTAATATTTAAATAAATGAATAAATGAATGAATGAATAAATAGATAAATAAATAAATAAATAAATAAATAAATAAATAAATAAATAAATAACCAACCAACCAGATGAGGTCACAAATGAGCAAAAAAGTCTCACTTTGTGAGCTTCTCTTTTCCCGACTAATGCGAGATTTCCATCATCTCATGCTGTGTGGAGTTTTCAGATCCCAGATCCAGCACCAGCATTTTCTTGCTTTTTTTTGTCCAGGCTTTAGATCCAGACCCCCATCTTTGCCCCCCCACACACACACACACTTCTGTTCTCTGATAAGGTTCTTTTTCTTCTTCTTCTGGTTTCCACCTGCCAAAGCTCCCCGGTGTCTTTGGGCCTTAATGGACGGCCGGATATTGAGATTTTATTTATTCCTCCGCTGTCGGTTTCTCTCTTTTTCAAACACAATATAAAGACGGAGACAAACACTCAGACCCGGACTCAACAAGATTGGATTTGGTTTGTGTGTATTTTCTGGATCAGGGGAAAAATCCTGTCCTTGAGGGAAATCAAACACTCGTCTACTCGTGGAGGCCCGCTCTCCATTTATTAAAACTCCGGGGGAGACGTGACAAGTGGGTTTCATGTGTTTGCTCCGGTGGCTTTTTCTGGGAATTGGGAATTGCTGTCGTCTTACAAACGCACGTGGACAGAAACGGATGCTAATTAGAGCGGGTAAATTCCTCCAAAGGTCAGTTTAGCTGTTTCCTCTGACAGTTTTTGAGCGTCTTTCCTCGTCCGTTCACCAACAAAAGGAGGATTTTTCAACCAAAACGCGGCCGACCTTTAAATCCCCACTGATGGCATTTCGGATTGCGGCTCGAAAAATGTCTGAAGTGATCTTAAGAACGACTCCGTCGGCTTGCAAACCTGGAAATTCGTCACCTGATCGAAGCAAACCTGTCTCTCTGAGGGGCGTTGGGCAGATTTTGGGGTGAAAACCACACAAAAACAGCGGCACTTTGCTTCCATTTGGTGGTTTTTCCTCCAAACAACCAGGATAAAAAAGCTAATAGTGGATAAAAGTGTGCGTATTTAGGCTGGTGGGAATCTGAAACCACGTCTAATTTTCATGTTTTGAACACAAATTCTGCCATTAATCACTGAATTAACATAAAGAAAACGCCTGAATGCTGAATTATGATCCTCCTCTTGGTTCAGAGGGCTCAGAAACAACAATTAGCCGTCACTGTGTCTTCATTTGAGCTTCTTTTCTCATTAAAACAGACCCTTCTACAATAGAAATAAAGATTCTTGAAATATCTAAAATAAAAAAAGATGTTTTCCTGCTTTTCTAACAGGTGGGATCATAGTTGGCCTTGTTGGAATGGATTGGTGGAGGGAGGGAGGAAGGAAGGAAGGAAGGAAGGAAGGAAGGGAGGGATGAATGGAAGGAGGGATGGATGGATGGATGAATGAATTAATGGATGGATAGGTGGATGGATGGATGGATAGATAGATAGATAGATAGATAGATGGATGGATGGATGGATGGATGGATGGATGGATGGATGGATGAACGAACGAACGAATGAATGAATGAATGGATAGATGGATGGACGGACAGATGGATGGACGGACAGATGGACGAATAGATGGATTGATGGACGAATAGATAAATGGATGGATGCTGAAAATGACTAAGACCTGAACCCTGAGACCAGTCAAAATAGACATCTTCCAAAACCTTTTATCTACATTTTAATCTACATTTTAATCTAACTTTTAACCTATTTTAACCAAACTTTTATACCCGTCCTGTTTCCTGTTTCCCGCCTGCAGGCGGCCTCGGAGGCCCTGAGCAGCCTGGGCCACGTCTACTCCTCCATCGGGGACTACTGTTTATGATCCCACCTGTTAGATGGATGAATGAATGAAGGAATGAATGAATGAATGAATG